GCAGATGCATTCTGCAGGGGCTGAACTTTCTGAATAGTCTTAAGTATTGCCTCATGTAGGGCACATTACAGTACATCCCATTTAGAGATGATAAAGGTCTGGATGTAGTGCAGGCCTCACCTGAAGGAAAAGGCTGCAAACTTCTTTCTGATCACAGATTATAAAAATCTCTATTGTGAACTGATGCTATCTGTCTTCCTAGAAGCAGGTGGGATCAGCCATGAGCTTGAGGTTGAGAGCCTGCACATCAAATAATCTCTGCCATTCCTTCCTATTGCTTTTCCCATCCTATAAGCTGCATATCTATTTTCTCTGGGATGAGCTAGTCATCATCCACACACCATTCAATGAAAGACTGAGTAAATCAAACCAAACCAGTGGTTGGGCTGGAGGAGATGAAAATACAGACATGTGTGGTATCCATATTTGAAAGACACCAGAACTCAGATAACTTCACTAACAGCCCTGTAAACACCAATAAGAGAGTTCCACTTCAGTGCACTCATTCATACTGCACTTAACGTATTTATGTTAAAAGTCTACTCAGAGTTTTGGCAAAGGACATTGTGCTGCTCTATGGTAAAATCAGAAGCTTTTGTTTATGAACTAAATGCCATTTTCACATATCTTACATTTTCCATTTAAAACTGAGGAGGCATTGGCAGGTTTGATGATGGCTGGGGACTTGCATAAATCTAGTAGAGTTTTAAATTCCATATGTGCTCCTTATCAGATGTATCCTGGAAAGTATTACAGTAGTTAGCTAGCCCATTCACGTACATTGCATGGCTTAGATTAAAAACCATAGGCCAGATCTTGAGATGCTGTAAATCAGCATAGCTCTATTGAAATCAACCATGCTACACCAGCTGAGGGTATAGCACAAGAGGTAAGTCCTATATGAGAGAGTGATGACCGTAGTGGTGAGGATACAGCAGCCAGACATCAATATTTTCAAATTGGTGGAAAATAGCAGCTCTGTTTATTGCTTAGGCATCTTATTTAATAAATACAAAAGATGATATGACTACTATTATAATGTAATTGTGAGAGGGTCAGAAAAGTTTCAGCTAAGCATCCAAATGTTCAGATGCTTACCTGAACTCATCTGAACATCTTCAGTCTGGAACCAAACCTTGACACCGCCACAGAATATTCTCTTGTAAGACTTCCAGTAAAGAGGAAGCCAGACCTTGAAAGTGCATGAGCCGAAGGGTGGATAAATGTCAGAATGACAGGCAAAGAATTTAAATGAAACTCGGGGGAAAAATCCGGTCTCCCTACCCAGGTGTAGACAGCCCTAGATGCAGCAGCAATGAAGTTTTGCTTCAGGCATGGCGTGTCCTGGATTCCTGGAAGGAGCACTTAGAGTCCAAATGCACTGCTGTGCTAGCGAGCATAGCACCGGTGTGCAGGGTTGTGGTGAGGGCAGGGTGGAAGTGGACTGCAGTTGGTGGATATGCAACTATACAGATCCCTCCCCAGACATTTCTCCGCAGGTTGGGGGAGAGGGGTGGTCTACATGTGAGAGGACAGTTGCCCTATTGCTTTAATCGTGCCTGGGAAACAGCTTCAGAGCTGTAAGTGGCCTGCAGAGCCCCCCCAGAGATCTCTTTAATACATAGCCTAGTTGCACAGTCATCATGGGCAGAAGGCCCACACAACGTCTATGAAGCACATACCCCACAGAGATCTCTTTAATACATAGCCTAGTTGCACAGTCGTCATGGGCAGAGGGCCCACACAACGTCTATGAAGCACATAGACCCTTTGCTGGCCTTCTGAACAAGGGGTGAATTTCATTCCTGATCTACAAAGAACAAAATTTGGGCCCCAATGTCCCAATTAGATAGTATACCATAACGTATTGAAACAGTTATGTGGAAGCAAACAACCTAGGTAGGTAACAATAATTACAAAGATGATACAGCCTTTCAGATGTGGCTCCATTACATTATAAAAAATATTTAGGGCATGGAAATAATGCTTCCCGTTCCAAATGATGATTTTGAAGAAAAAATGGGACATTTGTTTCAAATGGAAACAGCTTTTCCTAAGGGATTTCCTTCTCCTTAAAATGTCCTTTAAGACACCAACAGATCTGAAACTCACAAGAAGCAATTTGCAATAGAAATTTTACAAGAGTTAAGCTTTATGTTTTACAGACACAAAGAAAAGAAAAATCTGTGGCAAAAATAATACGTCCTTTTTCCCCCTGGTGTCATGTTTTTGGTTATGTACAGCCTTGAAGATATGTATAAATCATTTTTATACATGAAACTGTCTTAGAAAACTGAGATTTTAGTACAAAGGAATCAATTCACTGAAAGAATGTCCACATGCTGTTGCTTTATGAGTTACTATACATACAAGAGGATCACACAAAGGACCCCTGTTTTACAGATACTGCTGTATTGTACATTAACATGTGGCTTACTCCCGTCTCAGGGCCAGCTTTACTCTTAGTATTACAAATAATATTATAACAATGCTGAAAATACTGATACAAAACAGCTTCAAGATATTTTTTTAAAATATCCCTCACTTTAATTGATCTGTTTTCTCCAGTTTTTTGAAAGTTTCAGCTTTTAAAAAGATTTTCCAAGAAAATAGTAGCATCTAAAATGTTTTTTGAAATGTGTAGACAGTTTTTTTTAAATAAAGTGTAATCCAAAAGTCCATTTTTCCAGGAAAAAAATCAACTATAAATACAGTATATCAGTTAAAATTGAAGAGGTTTTTATGTAGTATAGTACATTTGTGTCCTGGGGAAAAAATGCCCTTGATTACAATATTTTAATTTATTTACAGATTTGAAATATAATTGCATACATCAACTCTTGAGAAAGGCCAGGCTGAAATCTGTAATTAATAATCATTGTTGTCTTTTTCAATCTACAATAACCTTAGGAAGTTGCTCAGATGAAAACATGGATCTGAATAGTGAAATCATGGTACTACTATTTTGTTTTTTAAGTCTGTAGACTTTACGTTTATCAAAGCAACATTAGGAGTCTTGAACAGCCATACTTCATTCAACAAAGCTGTTTTTGCATTGTTCCATTTTGGCAGTAACAACACACAAAGAGAAACAAAGTGAGTATGTTTGTATATATTCACCTTGATTCACAGCTCTGCAAATCCAAAGTTACCACTATAGCATATTCAGACAAACCTTGGTGTCTTCAACAGCAGATGATGTCTCAAAACTAGCCCTAATTGGAAGCCTCAATAAACAGAAGCCTGGTGATTCAAGGCTACTAAAATGGCTCTGCAGCATATTTTCCAAGGCCTGTAATCCACATGTTTCTTCCCCCAAGCAGTCTTTACACAAATCTGATAACTATGAAAGACTGCTTGGATTGTGTGGCTAGGCAGATGTTATGCTTACTTGTAGGTAATTGTTATCCTAGTACATGGTATTGTGTGCATTACTTGACTGCTGACCTTTAGGAGTTTCATTTTCTATTTGTTGGTAGGGTATGTTAGCTACTTGAATCTTTGAGTAAGGATCTGCTGAACCCCTTCTTCCTCCTCCTCCATACTTAATCATAAATAAAAAGAGAGGTGACCTTATTCAGATTTATTGGTCCGCTTCTTATGCCCTGAAATGCAGGAGATTCTTGTTATTCAAGAGCTAACTATTATATGTTTTATTATTCAAACAGATTACCTGCCATCAGAGACATGTTAGGCTAAGAATCGAGTTTTGCATATGCCACATGTTTAGCATATCTTGTCTTAGCCACTCAGTTTCAAGTCTGTTGGAAGGGGCAACCAGGATTTTGTGTCATTGGCATGTTTGCAAGCTCTTCAGTGTGATCAGATTACTTCAAGTTCCTCTGAGACTAGAATGCTGTAGGTCAGCTAGGAATATATGGGTTTCAGCAGGTGTGTAATATGACAGTAGACTACCAAACATGCAGAGTTAGTCCAGGTCATCAACTATTCCAGGTCATTAACCACAGATGTAGCCTTGGAGACATGCTGATTTACAAAAAGCGACAGAGTCCTGTGGCACCTTTAAGACTAACAGATGTATTGGAGCATAAGCTTTCATGGGTGAATACCCACTTCGTCAGATGCATGGGTATTCACCCACGAAAGCTTATGCTCCAATACATCTGTTAGTCTTAAAGGTGCCACAGGACTCTCTGTCGCTTTTTACAGAACCAGACTAACACGGCTACCCCTCTGATGCTGATTTACATTAGAGTAATTTGGACATAAACCGATAAGGACTGGATAAGACAATGGAATTACTTTAGTCTTTCATCCATTTTCAGTTTGATACACTGGAATGTGGCATGACATTAGATGATGACACAGCATGATAGTGTGTGCTGTTCATCTGTGAAAGTACAACAAATATCACTAAAATGTGACGTCATAATACAACAAAAATAGTAAAACACAAAGTTTTTGGAGGATCAAAGCTGTCACTCTCAATTTGAATTCCAATTACTCTGTCTGAAATCCTTGGTGAACCTGTATGAACTGAACATTTAGAAGAAAATTAAAAGCAGTCTCTTCCTCTACTGGTGTGATGAGGGATTCTCAAAATTCACACAACAGAAGCCAGTGAATCTCTAGTTTATATGTGAGCAAATGTCATTGTTCAAAGAAACAAAAAACATGATACAAAGAGAGTGCCTCAAAGACTTCAGTCTCATTATCTCCCTTGTCTCTATACAATTCAGGAGTGTTTACTAGTTACTTACCTACTCATTCCTCACATCTACTTTCACAGTAACATTATTAAATAAATACATTGCTATTTGAGATCACCTGCTGGAAAACTTCAATGTTGTCAGTGGTTTACAGAGGCAAAAAGATGAGAAAAATATTGGGCCTATTTTGGACTAGAGATCCCAGCAAGATGGTCCCATTTATTATACATATGGTGACTTCGGCAAGACAATTCAATCTAGTTACTTAAGTTAACATGCTAGTCCACCCCATCCCCACCCTCCCTAAACAGGGAAAATATGGAGCCCATGTACAATGCTAAAAGTTAAAAAATTAAAGGTAGCAGCAGATGAGAACTTAAGACTGAGCTCTAGATGAGCAATGTTCCCCCTTAACTGACTTTATCTCTTTCTACAACAAGAATATGAGGACTCAGTTAGCCATCTTTTTGGCCTAAAGTCTGCAGCTCTGCCGTGTGTAAGTTGTGGTGGAGGAAAACATTTTTCCTGCTGTACATGTGTAAGGAGATGGGTCCCCTCGGAGGCTGTCCAAATCTCCCCGTGAAAGTGGAATGCTGCCGGGGTACAGCAGTCTGATCCTTCGGCACCCCAGCCAACCCTGGGAAGCTCTCTGTCTTGGGTGTTGGCTTGGTTGTATTTTGTGTAGCACTGGCCAAAACATTCTGGGTGACCTCTGAAGTGAGGGTCTCATATGTGTCTCTCGTGTGCTTGATGACTTCCACTATTTCTTTATCTTTCAGGAGGTTACTCAGACACAGACTTGACAGCTGACAGCTTTTGCTTTCGTAGGCAGTTGCTTGGTTGCCCAATGAATATCTAAAAGGGTCCTCGGTGGGAGTATGTGCTGACTTTCTGTCCCTTGTGTTGAGGTTTTGGCTCACAACTTTGTTTAGATATGTAGCCTGGGGAGGGAAAAACAGAAATGGGGAAAAAAGGCATTAGCAAAAGCACATATTAAGAGCAAAATGACACAGAGCATGCAAAACACTCTCGGTGGTGGCTGCCTAGGCTAGGCATTCAGTGTTGGCTGACTAAAATAAGAGACGTATCTCAAGCACTAGGAGAACTCAGGGCACTGTCAGTATAAAATGGAAATATTACTTATTTATATTTTTTAAAAAACTTTGAAAAAACGTATTTAAATATGTAGAATTTGGGAATTTTTAGTTAAAAAATCTGGTTAAATTGAAAAGACAAATTCTTTAATGAAACAAAAGATACACAGAGAGGTCCCATGACTCATAACAGATTTTTTGAGCCCATCTTAATCATAATAGTAATTAATACCTAGAAAACCAGTTCTGAGTAACTTTGTCTCAGTTCAACTTAGAACATGCTTAACTTTAAATGTGTGAGATAATTTATAGTTACCATAACTATGTCTCCCTTACACTGAAGGCCAGCGGCAGCAACTACTGACTATGTTCCGGATAAGCTTTCAGAACTTGAAATTTAGGCTCATATGTATTCATAACAAACTTCATGTCTGTATATTTTAATATCAAATGTCTAACTCCAAGTTGCCTGAAAAAAAAATAATATTCCAATGCCACATTTAAGTGAATTTGGAAAGCAAATTCTCCATGGAAGAAGTCAAAAACTCTGAAAATCCATTCCTTTTAATGACCAAAAATATGTATGCATGAGAGGGAGACACACAGACATGGTGATGTTTCCAGGGAGTTCTTTAAAAGGTATTTTATAACTTTCAGTGCATTTTATATTTTGCTCTTCTTTCAATAAGTAGTAAGGTTACCAAACTCCAGTTATTATTTGAGAAACAGGTTATAATAGCATCAATTGCACCCTATTTTAAAAGTTATTTTGGAACATAATTTTCCCTCTGTTTTATATCTATGTCTCACTTTCTTGGTACTGTTCAGCAACCTAGTTCTGTCGTTCTCTTGTGCTAAAAGACCAATATCACACTATAACTTTGCTGCCACTGAATGTTGCCAGGACATAGTGATTACCTTTTGACATTTATACTGCCATTTTCTTTTATGTGCTCAAGCATTGCAACTTGGAGCCAGGGGAACGACATCTACTCCCAAGCCTTATACTCTGAGTTTGCTAAACAGTATTTTGAGATATTTCAATGAATCCATAATGAGATTTGTATATTTTTTCCATGAGAAACTGAATCAGTTCACATAATTTTCTATTAATTTTGTATTCATCCCAAATGAAGGGTAGAACAAATACAGCGAATGTGATTTATATACTTCTTTATGAAGGGCTTGTCATAGGCATGGGCAGATTATACTGATGCACAGGTTCAGATTCTTTTGGAGGCATTATGTACCAGAAGCTGTCTTAGACATTGAAGAGGGATTTTCAAAAGCACACAGTATTGGCCTAACAGGAAAATTGGGTGGATACAAAGAGAAAATACCTATTGGCCACATTGCCCTAACATTAACAATATTTAAACAGCCACATAAAAAAATCATAAGGCAAATAGTTTCAAAATGTTATTGTACATTTTTGTTGACGTGATTGAGGGTGACGTAACAAACAAAAAAAATTAGCCAGGTTTGCCATTACTCAGAATTTTTTGAACCAGCCACTCGCAATAAGAGGTGTGTGAAAAATCCAGAATGGACTGTAAGAATACCCCTGTGGGAGGGAAAAAAATCATGTCCCAGTTTTAAGAAAAGTTGCTGAAATGTTGCCGGTTTTTACTTGCCAATGGATCAGTTTCCAGGAGACATGTTCTGCGGTATTTTCATGCTAAACCCTCAACATTTGGGGCTTGAGTCTCGGCTGCACCCAATATACACTAGATGCTGCTGAGAGGCAGGACCCCAATCCTGGGGCAGACTCCATACCATCCTGGTCTCCTGCATAGCTTAGAGAAGCCTCAAAGCTGCCCTAAACTTTGCTAGCTTGCTGACAGGGCTGGCTCCGGGTTTTTGCCGCCCCAAGCGGCGGGGGGAAAAAAAGTCACGATCAGCGGCACTTTGGCGGCAGGTCCTTCCGGCCGAGAGGGACCGAGGGACCCGCCGCCGAATTGCCGGACGTGCTGCCCTTTTCCATTGGCTGCCCCAAGCACCTGCTTCCTGCGCTGGTGCCTGGAGCTGGCCCTGCTTGATGAGCTCCAGGAAGCCAGTATGCCAACTGGTGTTTGCTGAAGAGCTGCAGAAGTCCAGCCATGCTCCCTTTCTTTAAGTCATACTCCCTGCACCATCTGCAATCTCCTCCATGCCACGGGAATTTACCCCCTTTGTGGATACTTTGCCCTCTAGATCAGCAAAGGGGGCTTTACCATGGGAAATAGTGTAGCCTATAATGTTTCCCACAACATTAGACCCTTTTTGAATATATAGAATAAAATGTATACGTCTCCTATAAATTGTACGCTGTATACATTTTTTAGTTTCCAAAGACTGACACACAATGACATTTTCAGCCAAAAGGAAATGTACATTTTCATTTCAATCTGAAATGTCAATTTGAAACAAACAAATGAGTTGTTTTAAATTTTCTGGTCAGAAAATAAAAAATATCAAAATTGACATTTTCCTACTGAAAATTTTTATTTCAATGAAATGACATATTTCATAGGGATTTCCAGTTAAAAATTTTTGACCAGTTCTGTGAGATGGTTCTCAGCTGTTTTAGAGCTATCCACGCTGGCACTAAATCAGTTCAAACTGAAATGGTAAAGACTGAACTGGTTCTTAAGCCTGCCATAAAGAATTCTCATTGAAATGATTCTTTGAATATGCGTAGTCCTGGGGATTGTTTAGAGAGCTCCTGTGTGAGAGCGGGAGGTGTTTTACAGGCATCTTAGGGGCAAACAGGTTCTTAAAAGGGTAAATTTATCTTGTGTAGTAAAAAAATCTTAAATGAGATTTGAATATCCCTGCAGAAAGCTTAGAAATGGAACATGCCATAAAAAACACTGGAGCCATTCATCATTTTCCATTTTCAAATCCAATGAGTGAAATGTGACAATGGTTAACGGAAAAACAATTGTGCTGGAGGGCGTTTGAAAATGGATATTACTGTTGACTGGTTTGTGGTAACGTAATTATATAAAATAATAACAGAGAGCTAACTAAAAAATCAATTTTAAGGCACTTATGCCCAAAGGCTTCTGGGTGCCTTAAAATTACTAAAATATTATTCTTACAAATAGAGCAACTTTCCCAAATACATAATTCTGATAGAGCAGAAAAAAATCCCCCTCGCCAGTACACACGGACATCCAAATAAAACCCAAAATAAAAAATGCTACCTAAGAATGAAACCAAAGCAACAAGTCTCAGCCTAAGGACTCTATGGATATTTGTGTTGTGGAGGTGCTGAGGAGAAGTCATTCCAGAGACAAATATTAATCTGGCAGGGGCCTGAAGGCTGATTCCATGTTCCTTGAAGACCCATAACTCCCATTTACTTCAGTGGGACTGGAGTTGTGGGCATGCAAAGAACGCAGGATGAGTCTGTTAATGTAATACAAATGCTGAAGCACAGCTTACTTCGCACTCCCCTGTTCATGTCACAACTACACTTTAATCACCCTTGGCCCAAAAGTTCATAGACAACAAGGCTATGTAAGGAAGCCAAGAGTAAAAAACAAAAGGGTGAACATGATAAACCCTTCTCCAAAAAAAAAAAATGAAGCCCTCCCAACTTGCTTCTAAATTCATATGACTTTGAAGAACTTTCTTAGCTCTGACAATTTATATAACCACCCATCTAATTTACCAACACAGGTTAAATCGGTTCTTTGGTATACCCCATCTATCACCATGTCAACTGCTTAATTTCTACAACACCTCAGTTTTGTGCCCACCAGCTCCCAGTGTAGGGAATGATCCAATACAGAATGTAATTTATCTACCGTAGATAATTGTTCTTCATTTTAGTCGGTTAAAAAGCACTCTTCTTTATTGATTTCCGGCTGCACCGGAATCAACACTATAGTTTTTACAATAACCTGAATTGGCTCCTAGCGATCAACTAATGCTGCCTTCTGGCAAGGGCAACATCCACTATGCTACAGAAACAAAGTCCAATACACAGAAGTAATGAATGGGAGACCTGTAGTAGTGTCTTGAACAGAGCCAGAAACTGGTGAATTTGTCACCTGTAGTATCACCAGGCACAAAATGGACTAAGTAACCATAAATCAAAGGGATTTATTTTCTCCCTCTCCAATTTCCCTACCACCTTTATTGACTTACTAATAAAAAAAGATATAGTATATGTTAAATGCACCCCCCCCCCCCCAATGTCCTTTTAAAGAGTAGTCCAGCAGAGTGTCAGAGAATTGAAGCATCCAGCATCCTCATTTCAAGAGGAGGTTTCAGAAAATGGCCATGCTTTGCAGCAGGATATGGACATTTAAGGCAGGAATGAAGCTATCCATTCAATTTGCTAAGCTAAATTATCCCTGAATAAGTTCATTGCTGTAACTAATAAAGCACAGCTACAAGCAGGCAAGGTGTAAAAGATTTAATGCTGAAGGTTTTATAAAGTAGGAAGAGAACAATGAAAAATGTCCTGTTATCCTGCAGTAACTTAAAGTCAATCGTGGCTGTCTGCCTTCTGGATACTGTACACTGTCTTTCTACAGTTAACTGAAAGCCTTGCCCACTACTTCCACTGTGTGAAGCAAATGGAACATTTTGCATAAGTTATTACAGCTATTTGTCATCACCTTTCAAATTAAAGTTTTTGCAACTCTTCACATTGCTTTGCAATTGAGCAGCAGAGTTGATTCCTCCATTATGATGAAAAATTAGTGTAGATACATAATATTTCTTGTCTGTCGCTATGAGTTTAAACCCAATAACCCTAAAAATACCAGGGAGGTATTATAAAGCCACAGTGCCTCTTAAATCCACTTGTGCCATACATGCATGTAGAATATACTACCTGATATAACCAAGCA